CAGCTCAAATGCATTGCAGATGTGTGACTTAGTCTGCCTCACTGTTGCTGTTGCAGAATGTTAAAACATCTGTACAGCTCGCATTTACGGCTGCTTTTCTTTGCCCTCTGCCACAGAAAAACAACTCTGCCCTTTAATGAGGCCAAAGACAAGTGGAGGCTTCCTGAACTTTGTGTGGACACTTACAGGAGGACGTCAAAACCTGAACAGCTGCTTTCTGGTGTGCAAAGACTGCTGGTTAGTCTTAAACGGTTGGTTCACGCACAGAATAACATTTTGGGATTGTTATTGTTATTTTAAACTGCTATGATTTTATTTATTCTTCAGAACACAAAGGAAACATTTGAAGAGTTGTGACGAATTGTGCTGAAGAATTGCTCTTTTTCATACACATGCAGTGAACTTTCAAGCTTTAAAATGGACACAAAAGCACCAAAACTACTACTTCAAAATGTTTTTTTTTGTTCCACAGAAAAAAGACATCAGATTTGGAACAACATGAAAATAATAAAATAAAATAAAATAAAAATAAAATAAGTTATAAAATAAGAAATATTTATATCAATAATAATAAATAAATATTTTTATTACATATATATTTCAATATAATTTTTTTATTATTTAATTAATTTTACATAGAGACAGGTTTTTTAAAATGATTTGCTCGGTCATGTTTAAAGACAGAACTCTATCTATCTATCTATCTATCTATCTATCTATCTATCTATCTATCTATCATGTATATACATATATATTAATGCTGTCAAATGATTAATCGCATTCAAAATAAAAGTTGTTTACATAATATATGTGTATACTGTGTATATTTATTATGTATATATACACACACACACACATACAGTATGTATTTTGAAAATATTCCCATGCATTCCCATGTATATATTTATATTCATATAATTTATATATATAAATATTTTAAATGTATAAACTTAACATATTTTTTGTAAATATATACATGCATGTGTGTGTATTTATATATGCATAATAAATATACACAATACACACACATATTATGTAAACAAAAACTTTTATTTTGGATGCGATTAATCGTTTGACAGCACTAATATATATATATATATTTTACTAATATATTTATTTATTAAATCCTTCTGAGCCTTAAAACCTTCTAAAGTCATCTGACAGCAAATTTAGATCAATATCCCCTGATAACCAGCTGGCAGATGTCATTTGAGGTCACATATATTATAATTTTTGGGTGAAAAGGTCCTTTAAACCATTACAGTCTGCAGCAGTGGATCAGGTGAGGGGTTTAACTTCCATTTCCAAGGGATTGGTCATGGTTCCTGCAGCAGTGTTTCTCTTCACACTAGATTCCCTCTGAGCATCACATTCTCCAAGACTCCCACAATTCAACTATTATGCTTCATCTTGCATTTTTCATATTAACTTTGTATACTAATTGATTAATTACCTGTAAGCAAACCTTTCCGCTCAAGGGAAAAGTCAACACTAATTTGCTCAAATACCTGCTTTGAGGTTTTGAGGACTGTGTGTGCTTGCAGACGAATCTGTTATCATAAGACCTCTGCAATGATAAACAGCTGCAAGCTTTCGGATGTTCTGTAAAGCCAATCACACAGGACAGACGTACACAAAACCCCAATTATCACGTTTACATTGTCTGGACAAATAAGTGCTTTACCGGTTGGGCATTTTATTTACTTAATCATTAACACCAAAGACTTTTACACATCAAACAGGAGATGATTGGACTTGATGGGTTTGGAGTTCTTGTTTAATTCAAAGAGCTGTAAATTCAACTTTTAACATGTTTTATTACTATTTTGGAAACATTTTTATACACATTTCATTTGGGCAAAATTTCAGTAACAAATAAGGATGCCAGCGATATTTTAAAAATCTAGTTTAAAACAGATGCACCATATTTTTTGTATTTGTACGTTGTTGTCATAGTTAAAAAAACAAAACATTTATACCATTTTCAACAAATTATTAATTTCTTTTTTATAGTTATTTACAGTTTTATAGTAGTCAAGTAAAATATTAATAATGAAATGTTTTCCTTACACTTTGAATACTGATTTATGAGCACATCTTAATTATGTTTTCAAGCATTCAAATGTAAAAAGAAATAAGCATCTTGACTTTTTTTTTGTTAACAACTGTTTATTGAATTTTCTTCTGGGAATAGTAATATAAAACAAACAGCAACTGTGCAAATGTAGAACCCACCCCAACCCTGGTAGACTTAAAAAAAAATAAAAATAATAATAATTAAAACATAATAATAATAATCATAAAATAAAAATATGTATATATAAAAAATAAATAAATAGTAAGCATCTTGACTTTTAAAATTAATAATATGATTAATTTTTCAGACTGAGGGAGATAGCCATATTTACTTTAAAAGGACTGCATATACTACGCACTGAGCTAATTTTTTAATAATAATACATATCTAACCAAATATTTTTAAGGAATAAACTACTTTCAAAGTTTGTTATTATTGTTTTTCTTTTAAGTTCTGAAACTGTTTGCTTTATTAAAATCTCTGTGAAGTTACACCACCTAGATATTTTTAATATATCTAAAAATAAATTTAGTTCAGACATTGATAACATTTACAGTAAAAGCTTCTCTGTATGATTTTTGGATAACATAATAGATAAAATAAACAACATATTTTTAAGGAATAAAATGTCAGGTTAGCTATTATTATTTATTTTAAATGATGAACCTGTTTGTTTTATTAACATCTCTGTGAAGTTACATCACCTTTTTTTTTTTTTTTTTTTTTTTTAAACCCCATTTAAAACATTAAAATGAATTTTAATTCAGACTTTGAAAACATATTTACAATAAAAAATTCTGTGTATGAATTTCTGAATAAAATAATAGATGAAAAAAATAATAATGCCATCAACCCATCTACAAGACCTTCCCCCAGTCCGTATGTGCATCTGCATTTATAGTCATTAGGGAGCTTTATAGTCGTTTAACATGAGTTGTGCACCTGATGGAGAAAAATCATTACGGTTGTCACATGGGCTTCATAAACCCTTTCCCCCCCCCCGACTCTCTAATGTGTGTGAACGTCAACCGCAGCAAAATAAGACTACGTGAACCAAGTCAATTAAAAAAAATAAGAAAATGTGTTATTTTGGTGTGATATTTAATAAAAAAAAGTATAAAACTTTAATCAGGGTATAAATTTCAAAACACATTTTTATGATTGTCCAAAATGACGTTGGTTTTTAAAAGCATATAGTGTGTTTTTTCCGTGAACTCTAGAGTTCCTCTCGTAAAAACCACATTGTGGTTACAAGGTGCTACAACGCGCTGACGCCAGAGCTGGGAAAAGCACTGCCAGCCGAGAGAGCCTGTCCAGCGGCCCCAGGTGGGATTTTTCCACCTCCGAATGAAAGAAAATAAACGCGCAGCGATCCCGCAGGGTCGCCCAGTTCCCCAGGAATCACCAGGGCAACCGCAGCTCTGGGAACGCTGCCTCACCTGGGCAGGACGTTCACACGCTTCCCATGATTCCTTTCCAATGTTCTCTAACGGTCAAAATGACCCTGAACAATTACTACTGAACCTTGCTTTAATTTGGGGTGTGCTGCTTTTTTACGGCCTTCTCCCCACCCTGCGCGTTACCCATGATTTCATAAGCACTGGATGGGACCCGGCGGTTAGGGGGGTACGCTGGGGTCACGCCGCTGAGGGATTTTCTTCCAGCACCCGACTGAGAGAGGCCAAGGCAGTGGCCACGGGGGTGAGCCCTGTTCCAGCGCCCATGCCAGGACACACACTGCGCACTATGAAGGGAGCTCCTGACGGACTGACACGGGGAAGAAAAAGGTTTGATGTGCTGCCACAGACCCTGAACATCCTCCTAACATCTGCGTACAGGGCCACCGGGCCCTTTGAACCCTTCCTTTCTGCTCTCCCTTGCTAAAATGGAGGAAGTTTGGATGAACTTGGACTGGAGGCCGGCAATTCGGCCGCGCGGGCCCCTGTGGAGATGAAGGAACAAATAGAGAGGTGCGGGAGTTTTCAGGCTGACGATCAAAACCCAAATAAGCAGGTCTAGAATACCTGGGCAGAAATAACCATTAGCTTTCCCATTCGTCTCAGCACAGGACCTGCTTGATGTCATCTTTGCTCATGGGATCTCATGACTACGCCAACACAAAGCTTTCTCTAGCAGTCTGTCCTGAGTTGTAATGTCAAAGGTAGCATACAGGGAAAAATATGAGGTCCTCAAAACCTCAAAAATAAATCAGGCACTGGCAGACCGTATTTAATATGAACATTTTTTTATTTTTAAGTAAAATACATTTTCAGCTGCCATTACTCCAGTCTTCAGTGTCACATGATACTTAAGAAAACAGTTAAATTATCAATTGTTGTTAGTACTCATTTTTTTGTTTTTATTATACATTTTTGTGGAAATCATGATATATTTTTTCTAAAATTGTGTGATGAATAGGAAATACATATGTAATATTATATAGGTTTTACTGTCACTTTTGATTAACTTTGCTGAGAGTATAAAGTTCTTAAAAAAAAAAAAAAAAAAAAAAACCTTTGAAATGGTAGCGTATCACGATTTCCCCAAAAAACTATTAAGCAGCAACATTTGTTTTCAACATCATATAAGCATATTAGAATGATATCTGAAGGAACATGTAACAAAGGCTACTGAAAATGTAGTTTTAACATACCAGGAATGAATAACATTTAAAAATATTATTTCATTTTAAAGTAGTTTTTTTTTATTGTAAAATTATTTCACAATATTACTGTCTTCGATCAAGTAAACGCAGCCTTGGTGAGCAGAAGAGATTTCTTTCAATAACATTAAAAAATATATATTCCAAACTTTTGACCAGCAAAAAAAAAAAAATTATAATAATGCTAACCAGCTAAACCTTGACCCCTTCGCGGACGTTTCATATGCAAAAAATAAATTTACATAAATCTTAAAAGGAAAATGTGCAAATAAGGGGAGAGAAGGCCTGTTTAATTCAAAGAGAGTGATAAAGGGTCATAAAACATTACATTCTTACTGATAACCTTATAAGTTGACCCACTTCACAACTTAAAGTAATCATTAGAACGCTGTAACAATATTTATCCTGTTTTCTCAGGAAATATTAGAAATTTAGTTGATGTGTGCTTTATAGAATTGTGACAACTCAGTAGCAAAATATCAGAAAGCAGTGTTCAGCATAAACGAGAATTGTGTCATGTTTAATAGCTGTTATTTCTACAAAACAATAGTGAATATCCATGACAATGACTGCCAACATGTCACTTCACAGGCCTATGAGGACTTGAAGCCATTGATGTTAAATCATCGCCTCCTAGTGGCCACCTGGAGAACATTCACACCTATAATACAGAAATATCAGTAAACCAAAAAAAAAAAAAACGTATTCTACAACGATTCTCTGAGAACAAATATACCTGCTGGAAACTAAAACCATTAAAAGAGAACAAATAAAACATAAAAACAGCAGAAAACAAATTCAACCACAGATTTCATCGATAGCCAGTGTAGTTTTATGCTTCTACAATCACTTGGTTTGAAAAACTACATGATAGTTTGGCAACTTTGACAGAACTAAAAAGTCTTCTAGAAGCACATAAAAAAAAATTGCAACTTGAATTACATTTTGCCAAGTAAAATACAATTCCTTTGTATTTAACCAGACCATTTAATCACAGAAATCCAATTCAAAACGGAGCAGCTGTGAGAAAATGCATCTATTGTTACAGTCTTAAATACAGTCTGTGTGAGGAAATGAAGACACTACTTGACAGTACATTCATAGATTACAGAGAATTGTAAATAATTGCACTGTGGTGACCTCTTCTGCATCAGTAACGCATTTAGAGGTGTCTGTCGAGTCCTGGGGCCTGTACCATGACGGTAGATGAACAAATTCAGAGTTACAGGATTAGTTTCGAGCTGACAAAACCAAACCACTCCGGCTTTGTTGGTACCATGATGCTGATCATCAACTTTCTTTGTCAACTCAGGCTTTGATCCAGCGAACAGCCAATCACGAGCCTTGGTTAAAGGTTTTGCGAAAGGTTAAGAGATTGAAGAATGATGCATTTAAAGTGAAGAAAGTACTTGTTCATGAAAGAGGACAAATAAAAGAAATGATCTTGCTCAGTCACAAGTGAAACTTGTTAAGTTAGTTTATATAGTTGGAAATATACAGCAATAGAGACTTGAACATGTAAGGTCACGTAGTCATTTTTAAAAAGCGTTATCTATTGATTCTACAGCTTATTTATATTGCATACGATCTGTATATATTAACATTCATTTAAAATAAATGATTTATAATAACGGTTAAACTAAAATTGCTTGTGTGTAATGGATTAATAATAATATAAACCATATAAAATAACTCCAAGTAATTATAATTAAAGCCAGGCAATTTTTTTTTTAGTACTAGTGACCTTTAATTTGGAGCAAGAGAAACTGGGGGAGTGACTTTTTTGTGTCAGACATGTGTCACTTCTCACAGCTGATTGGTCCAATTTCAGTTTGAGATCTCTAACTCAGAACGTAACCTGCCCCGGAGCAGGTTAGCCGTGGAGTGTAAGTTACCATGGCAATGAACACCGCTAAAAGCCAAGCCACTTTCATGGTTCCTAAAACCCAGGATTGGTGCAAACTAAACTGAAACTTACCTGGCTAGCCAGCTAATCTGGCTTCATGGTACAGGCCCCTGGTCTTTAGTGACCATAACATACATAACATCTTAACATCAAATGAAAAAAAGTCAAGAGAAAATAGCAGTTCTAACACAAATATATAATTAATAGAAAATATAATTTTTATAAAGTACTTATTTTACCGATTTTGACAGTATTTCTAAATATATTATATTGGGGAAGTTAAAATATGAGTAGGAGACAAGTCCTAAATAAAGATATTATTAAACACATAAGTACACTTAACTTTGAAGCTAGTATTATCCATCCTGTAGCCTACAAGATATAATAAAAGAATGATTTGAAAGTATTTTAAGATAATTGAACTTTAAAAGCTAATTGAAGTTTCACCCATAAGACTGCCAATATGAGTTCTGATGAACTTAAATCATTTAGCAAGCAATTTTAATGATGTGATATGGCTTGTTTTATGCACACTAAAATGCTCTACATGTATATACTAACATACTGACCTGTTCCGGTCCGGACATCCCATAGGAAGCAGTGTGATAAATAACATCCACTCCTGCACAGATCTTATACAGGGCATCATAATCCCAACTCAGGCTTTGATCCAGCGAACAGCCAATCACGAGCCTTGGTTAAAGGTTTTGCGAAAGGTTAAGAGATTGAAGAATGATGCATTTAAAGTGAAGAAAGTACTTGTTCATGAAAGAGGACAAATAAAAGAAATGATCTTGCTCAGTCACAAGTGAAACTTGTTAAGTTAGTTTATATAGTTGGAAATATACAGCAATAGAGACTTGAACATGTAAGGTCACGTAGTCATTTTTAAAAAGCGTTATCTATTGATTCTACAGCTTATTTATATTGCATACGATCTGTATATATTAACATTCATTTAAAATAAATGATTTATAATAACGGTTAAACTAAAATTGCTTGTGTGTAATGGATTAATAATAATATAAACCATATAAAATAACTCCAAGTAATTATAATTAAAGCCAGGCAATTTTTTTTTTAGTACTAGTGACCTTTAATTTGGAGCAAGAGAAACTGGGGGAGTGACTTTTTTGTGTCAGACATGTGTCACTTCTCACAGCTGATTGGTCCAATTTCAGTTTGAGATCTCTAACTCAGAACGTAACCTGCCCCGGAGCAGGTTAGCCGTGGAGTGTAAGTTACCATGGCAATGAACACCGCTAAAAGCCAAGCCACTTTCATGGTTCCTAAAACCCAGGATTGGTGCAAACTAAACTGAAACTTACCTGGCTAGCCAGCTAATCCGGCTTCATGGTACAGGCCCCTGATTCCCTCCTCTAAAGCAGTTGAGGTGAAGCTGCTCCTTTCTACAGTCCATTTGGCAGTAAACAAACTCAAACAAATCTCTCGCGCTCACCAAAGTGAGTTCATGAGTGTGCGTTTTCTCCCATCACTCTCACCGCTCCACATACAGCAGCTTCTGTGGATCTCAAGATGTGTCCTATAGTTCATCCTGTAGGGACATACACAAAAAAGATGCAACAAAATGTTTTGAAGTAGGCCTGGGTGGTTTTTATTTCTAATTTGGATTCTGGCTTCCAACAATTATGAAAACAAAATATTCATAAAACGGTTTCATAAGGATGCTCTCGTTTTTTCTTTCTTTCTCCACATTAAACTCACAGCACATAAAAAGATTGCATTTAATGTGAACCAAGCTGCTCTGAGCTGGATTTATAGTAAAGGCAGCAAACTCGATCAACATGAATAAATGTCAACGTTTTAATTGCTATTTTTCTTTTTACAAATCCACTGCTAAAGTAAAAAAAAAATAAATCAAATGCAAGATATTTCCAAAGTCAACAAGTATTTAGTATATGATCCGCACTCACAAAAGTATTCTTCTTTTTAGCATTTATTTGAATTCGGGTAGTAGATGCTGAAGATCGTTTATGAATTAAACTATTGTATAATTGTGATAAATATGGGATCGCATGTAATGCATGTTCTAGTCAGGGGTATATTATGCAATGTATTGGTGGATGTGAGATTTGTGTTGTATACGAATGGAAATTGTCCAGTGTTTAAATGGAATATGTGTGTCTTTATTGATTGAACATTGGCTAATGAATGATAATAATTAATGATAAAAAAGTGGGTGGAAGGATTGAATTGCCTTGAGCCAAAACGTTTGTTTTTGTATTTTGTCCTATTGGTGATTAATGTAAAAAAGAAAACGCTAAAAAGAAGACTACTTTTGTGAGTGCAGATCACGATCTCATATACAAAGTAATTTAATAGATTGACACACCAAAATAAAATATTAAGTGACGGAAGAGAACGGTGCAAACGGCTTTGTGGCAAAGTCAAAACGTAATCATATTTATTGTGATGTTACTATTGACCAAAATTTGCCGTATTTAAGCAGCCGTAAAGAAAACAAACAAACAAAAAAAACTGAAATATCTTGCATTTTCTGAAGCATACTAAAAAATGTATTATGATTTCCATATATTATATCAAACTGTTTTCAGCCATCCCTGAAAGAAATTACATTTTAAAATATAATAAAACAGAAAACATCATTTTAAATTGTAATAGTAGTACTTCACAATATTACTGTTTTTACTGTAATTTTAATAAATGCTGCCCTGGTAAGGATAGGAGAGCTCTTTCAAAAACATAAAAAAATCATAACTGTCTAACTTACTTTAAGTTTGGAGGACTTTCCCAGTAATGCTAGCTGCTGGAGTCTCTGTCGGAGAATATCTGCGATGACTGTGGCGTCTCTGCTGTTAATATGCTCTCCTCCTTGATCTCGCTAAAACAGGTTGGACATAAAGGTATCGGTTAGAATAGGTACAGAAATAACTCAGAGAGCACCTGGAACAATAGGATGGCCAGCACTTGTGTCGCACCCGTGTGGTGCCCAGGTGGGGGTAGAATCGGACACTGGGGTAAGCCTTGATCCCGGCGCTCTGGCAGGTCTGGTAGTGTGCTTGACAGTCCACTTTGCCAGCTCGCACAGTTCCCTTCATCATCTGCAGGAGGAGGAACAGGTGACTGATGCTGCTGAACTAAACAGGAGCACAGCACCTGCACTGACTGAAGCCAGGTGCAAATGCACATGTGTTGCTTTTTTTATTATTATTAAAATTGCATTTTTTAAATTGCATGTTTAATAACAAATGCACAACAATTAGAGTGAAAAGCCTAACTGAATTGCCCTTTTGCTTTAGTGAAGCAGCTTGAAGCTCATGCGAATAAAACCTGATTATCATGTTCTCCAGCATAATTTAAGAATGGTCCAATGAGAATCTTGGGCTTCAATAGAGTGCAACAGTGTTTTCGCCCAAGTTTTCAGCAGCACAATAGATTTTTTTGTAATTTCAACCATATACAACATGTAAATGAAACAGCATTCCTCTAAGACAGTGCTGCATAAAAACAACACCAGACTACAAGACCGAACATGACAACACAAATTAAACAAGCTACTAAAATGTAAATAAAAACTAGAACTAGGAATTAAATAAGAACTAAGATAAGGATAGATAAGATTACACAGATACACCGGACTACAAAAAGTGCATGCGTGCAAACTAAAAGGATTTTTCTCATTCATTTTAAGGATTTTAAAGAAGTCTTCGCTGAAGCAGCCATAAACCAAACCAACCAGCTGGGTTGAGGTACATTACAAATATTTACATGAAGCAAAAAAGTATTTGAAAATTTGACAAAAGACAGTTTAATAACATGAAGCACTGCAATTGATAAATTCAGTTTTTTTTTTTATGTATTGATATTAGGACTGACTATTTTTAATTTGTCAGATTTCTTTGCAGAATCATGGTTAATGAAATTATGTTGTTTAACAATTATTTACAGCTAACTTTTAGTCTTCACAGTACACAGTAAAACTACTTGGCAGCATTAAAAAGAAAAGAATGTATGTGATTGGCTGAAGCACTGTATGCACTCCTCTCATCGCCCCAAGCTGTTAAAAAAGCATTTGCAGCTATATTTGCATTTCCTGAAGGAAATGCCAATGCTTGCAAAGCAGCAGAAATCTTTGAGAAAAAAAAGTTAGAACCATTGCAAACACCAGCTGAGATCAGCTGATGTCTTCGCTAATTTGTCTTACCCTGGCAAGAACTTCAAACTCAGGGGCAAATTGCTGGCATGGGCCACACCATGGGGCGTAGAAATCCAACACCCAGTGATCCTTCCCTCCCAAAACCTTTCTCTTAAAGTCCTCAGGTGACAGATCCACTGAGGCACGAGGCAGAGAGCTATGGACAAAAGTGTCCTTGAGTTAGAGGGTACAAGATGCAAAATAGCTTTTCCTATACAGATAGCATCCTAAAGAAATGAAACCAAAAGTGACTGATTTATAATTAAAAAAAAGAAAGCAAGAAAGCCACAAAAACATTTCTACTGAAATGAGTTGAGTCAAGTCGGTTGTGTGCTTTGTGTAAGAATCACTATTTGCATGATGCAAATACTGAAAACTACCTATAAAATAGTTCACATAGCTGGTGAATACTTCGTGAGAATTATCTCAGCTCACCTCAAGGCCCAAGTCTTGAGTGAAAAGGCATCCCGGTGCCACCCATTGTAACTCCTGTTAACAATGAGAGAAACACTTAACTTGTTGAACCGGTGTGTGTAATTGAGTTACTGAATGTACGAAACACGCACTGGTACTGGTCCCTGCGGTTGCTGTTCTGAGGAAACAGGCGGATCTCTGGGTAAGCGCGCACATTCTCGCCCTGGCAGAACGAGTGGTGTTTCTGGCAGTCAACCGTTCCCACGTTTACAATCCCACTCAGCATCTAGAACAGACACAGCAATAGGGTTGTCACGATCATGACATTTCTGCAAGTGATTAAGTGTCAAATGACTGCAATAAATTGCATAAAGTGTAAGCTTAATACAAGTATACTTTAAGAAAATCTTTTACTCACACAGAACTTAGAAACAGTTAAACTGAGTTTCTTTAAGGCTTTGCAAAATAAATATTGCACAGGTTAAAATGATATGGGCTGTTATGGTTATTATACTGCCAAAGCAACATTTGTAATTTTAGTTTAACGTCATGTACTGAAATAACAAAGTAAAGCTGAAATAAAAATGAATAAAAACTATACATACATACATACAAACACACAACAAAATTACTAAACCTTTCAAATTAAAATGAATAATGGTATTTCAATGACACTAAAATAATACAGAGTAATATATCATTAAATATTTTTCTTAAACCTAAACATTAACATAAAATATTTTAATATTAAAATAAAGAAATCTACATATATTAGGTCGACTTTCTTCACAGATTTTTTAAATCGAGTCCAATTGTAATATTTATTTACTATTATTATTATATATTTTATATTGAATGTGAGCATATTATGATATATTTTGTCCAAAGCTTAATTAAAAAGAAATTCTAATTAAATTCTATAAATATACTGCGTGTCTGTTTGTGTATGTATAATATGCTTGCTTATGTAACGAATCAGCTCATGAGGAAATATGAATAATTAACCATAACTAGTTATAATTAATTATTCATATTTTAGATCCGCTGTAGATATTTAGCTGACCTCTCAAGGTCAACTGTCTTGTCAATTCTAAGAACGTTAGTTTCCTGGTTAAGGGAAATAACTTTCTTACTGTACAATTCTACAAAAGCTTGTAGCATAAATCTGCATGATTAAGTGACTCCAGTTATGAGCAAACAATGAAC